AGGGTCCACGTAGGTGTAGCTTCGTGGGTCGACTTTGGACTGCAATTTGTCGGTGTTCAGCGCTATGTCGTCTTGAGGGTGCGGCCTTTCTCTATGCGCATTGAGCCACTTTATGTGTTGTAAACAGTTTGGTTGACTTTGGGTCCTAGTCGCGCGCTTTCTGTACACGGATTCAACATACACCATGACACATCTTCTGCTTGCCTTCTCGGCAGCCAGTGATAATGCCAGACCTGAAAGAGCAAGGTCCCAGATGCTCATGATGCTGGATCCCTCCCCATCCATGCAAGTCCCGACTGCCCCCCATTTCCCTCCCCCGTCAAAACCCGCCCTCGACAATCGCTAGAATGTTCTGCTCGCGGTCAAGCTCGCTTTCCGCCATGTTGAGCCCTCTATTGCCGGTGGTCATGTTAATGCAAAGGCGGGTTGCCACTAAGGAGTCAGCTTGTCCTTCGCCCGGCGGCACAGCCCAGCAAAACCTCGCAGGAGAACGTTAGCCCGTATCCCTAACCTGCTCACAGGGGCCTTTAGATGCATGTAGCTTCGAGGCATGCGGCATGCAATCACTCAGGGAGTCGAGAACCGCGCCAATAGCTCACCGCCGATGCTCCGACTGCAATCAGAGTAGTTCACTTGCCAAGATCTGTGCTGCCAAAGAAGTTGCTACTGTGCAGACACCACTGACTCGCGAAAGGCTTTTTCGACGCCGAGGTGCATACGGGTTCCAGCGTCTACACACCACTAAAGTCCATTAAAGTTGGGAAACACATTCGAGTCTCGCATCAGTCCAGGCAAGGGACCACGGAATGGTTCATAAGCTAACAGTGCCAGCACAAGCCTGTCAAACGATTTTGAGAAGGTGCAAGTCAAGTCAGCATGTCTCTAAAGGTGGCTTAAAATTTGCACCGCGCTTCGGAACAGCCAAATTTGCCTCAGACCAAAATGTACTCCAGAACCTCAGCTGGGGCAACATGCAGTTGGAAGACACACTAAAGGTGGCTTCGGACTTCTGACGAGGTCTGCTTGCAAGCCTGGGCGCCTTCTTCGGCAGCCATCCATCTGTCATGTTATCCGGCCTCTTTGGACTGATTCTCTCGCCATACACCCAGCCGCGCTCAGCCTCCTTGGACACCGCGATGAGGTCGCCTTTTAAGAGACCCAAGGTTCCTGCGCCCTCTTCGGGCCAATCAGCAGCCACCCGGCAAAGGGAAACTCTCTTGGCGACGGCCTGCGGCACCCAGCCTTCGTTTGGAGGTTCATGGGCCTGGTCACCGTGCTTCACTGTCGCGGCATAGACCCAGCCATGAGCTGCTCTGTGGGACACATTCACCAGTGTCCCCTTCTGAACCCGCAGCTGTCCTGGCTGATCTGGTTCCCAATCATGCGTTGTGATATGGAGCAGCACTTGTGCCTGCTCGTTGCTGTCCGCCGCCGTCTCTGGAGGCTGAGCTGGTGAGGGACCCGGTTGAGTCGTCTGGCCTGCGTAGGGCACTTGGTATGGCGATTGGTACTGGGATGGCGGCTGGCAAGGCGCCTGCGCCTGTGGAGGCTGTGAACCTGCGATGGGCGATTGCCCGTAATGTGGAGATGCTCCTGACTGGCCATACTGCGTGGGCATTACTGGCTGCACTGCTGGGTTTACTGGCTGCATCATGCCATGTTGGGCCGCATAGGGGTCGTAAGAATACGGCGGCTGGCCGAAGGCGTAAGGCTGGTCGGGCATCGGTGGAGGCGCACCTTGATAGTACATGGAAGTCTGAGGTGGATATGAAGGCGTCTGGCCCATGCTGGCCGCATACATGTTACCCGGTGGAACTCCGTTCGCATAGGAGGCCATCGGATCAAGCCCATGCTGCATCATGCCACCAGGCAATCCGGCATGAAAGCCGGCGCCAAAGCCTGCTCCTGCCTGTACGGATGCGTGGAGGACCGCTACCTGTCGAGCAACCAACCTGTTCTTGCCACTCTTTTTGTGATGGTCGCGCTCCACGTCAAACTCCACCACGGTGCCGGCTGTCAACTCGGCATCTTGAAACTGCTGAAGCAGGGCATCGCGATGCACGAAGAGGTCGCCTGCAAACTTGTCGGAGTTGACAAAGCCCCAGGCCCCCTGGAAAGACCGGATCACACCTTGGAGGCGTCGGCCAATCCAGTCACACGGCCTCAGGAGCGCGCTGGTGGTAATCTGCTTCGCAACCGTGCGACCCCGGTCGTCCAGGGCAACATCGAACTCGACTGCCTGGCCCGTTCGAAGTGGTGGCTGGCCATCCTGGATCTGGTCTAGGATGAGCAGCAAGTTATCCCTGTGGACGAAGAGATCTCCATCGAAGGCGGCTGCATTGAGGAAGCCCCACCTGTCTGCAAAGCGACGTACATAGCCTCGGTGCCTTTGGTTTAGGCAGTCGCTGGGCTTCCGTCCCACTATAGGCTTCAGAGCCACAGCGTGAGGCCTGCCTCTTTCATCTGCCTGAACATCAAATTCGACACCCTCCTCCTCCTTGAACTCGTAGTTCTGACACTCCAACATCACATTCTCGGTTTTGAAGCCGAGCTCACCTTCAAACAAATGACTCTTCACAAAGCCCGTGCCGCTGCTCATGACATACTTCGAGATCGTGCCCTGCAACCGCTCGTGCCGCAGGGCCAGCGGGTTGCTGACAGGTCCGGAAGCAGTGGCCGAAGCAACTTTCTCCTGGGTTCCTGCTGCAACGGATCCCACGGGCTGGGCCCCGGGAGGAAGGGGTCGAGGCACGATTGAACCACTCTCTTCCTTGGCATCATCCTCTAAGGCTGCCATGCTCAAAACTTTTCGAATGCTCTAACAAAGCGCTGTCCTTGAGCATAGGATAGAAGCACATGGACATGCTGGCAAGTGAAAAGGCACAGAACAGCCAGCAAGAGCCAAACAACCGCTCGGGTTCTCAAGACAAGCTGGCTTCAGCAAACGCCTGGTTGGAAAGCTGGCTGGATGCTGCGTGTGGCCAACGCCTGCACCCACTGACACTCTGGAAATGTGGTACTGGTACATGGTTGCACTAGCACTGGAGAAGGCAATCGCGGCTGCAGAGGTCACAGGTGTTCACAGAAACCTCATGGGACCTACGATACCCCACCTCTAGTCCAAGTCCAGGTTTAGTTGCTTCATAATAGCGCCAACACCTCGCAACAACGACCTTACCCCAATCTTGCCTGACAGGTTT